CATTCGCAAAACGAGAATAAAAGTATGATATAATGTTTGTGAGTATGATTTACAACGTTACTTTATACATACAATATAATGTAAGTTTTTGGTCATGGATCGACGTCTTTGAAAGATGCAAGAAATTTCTTTATTAGTAAAAATATAAAAAAGAGGGTGATGGAATTTTAAGTACCTAAAGATTTATTTTAGATTGAAATGAATATATATATATATATATATATATATATATATATATATATATATATATATATATATATATATATATATATATATATATATATATATAAAGCTTAGGTTATTGTATTCAAAATAATTATTGTGTTATTATATGCATAAACATGGACCAATCATTTTACTTATTTTAAGAAAATGATTAATACATATTATTGAATTAAAAATAATCGAAAAATATTATCTCATTTAACTAGAAGGGTATTTTAGTCAATTAATATAGATTTAAAAAAGGAAATTTGCATATTTTAAGGGATCATAGATCCTATTAATTTTAAAAATCCGATTTTACGAATTATAAGGTTTTTTTTTAGGACATTCTGACAGAATATGTTTGAGTATGTTTAAAAATAAAAATATTCTTGAACATATTTCTTGTAGAATAACAAATTCTCGAACCGGTAATTGAAGAATTAAAACAAAAATTATATTAATTCTTATAGAATACATGTAACAATTGCTAAGAATTACATTTACTGTTAAAGAATAAAACTAAAAAACTTTCAAATCGGGAAAAAACATCAAAATCTAACAAATACACTAATTTATTCGAAAATAATAATGTTGTTAAGAGACGTCGTTCAAATTTCGTGGTCCGTTCTTCAAGCATCAGCTTCTGTGGAAACAAATCCAATAAATAAATTAGTGAGAAAATATCCATATTCCATTCCAGCATAACTGGAATTCGTGATTCCATTCTGATAGAATTGGAATTCATTTACCAATAATTAAATTAATTCGGGGCATTCTAACAGAATATGTTCATGATTATCATAAAAAAAAACATTATTTTCTGATAGAATACTATAAACGAAGAAATATCATTCAGTTGAAGCATCTTAGTGAGGGCTTGGTGTGCATCAAAACAACTTTCAATTTCCTGTAAAAATTAGACAATCAAAACAAATTCCCAATAAACCTAAACACATCGAGTCTATCAGAAACCCATTGTACCTTACATTCGTTTCTATCATATTATCGTTAATCTATGCCTTGGAGCTTGTAAATGTAAGCAATTTTGCATAGGTTTCGTTCAATGTTATCATTCAAGATTGTATTTTTGAATCATCCAACATAAGATTGTATGATCATCCTACTGTTTTAGAGTGGAGTCATCATTTTTTTATAACCACATACAGGGGAAACAGAGAAATTATCGGGAAAAATAGATCACCAACTTATAAAATATACATACAAAATTAGGGATTTAAAAATTCTAATGTAATAAAGAAGAAGAAGAAGAAGGAAGAGGATACCATATCTCGGATAGAACTTTAAGCCTCCATTTATGCTTGTGCATGATGGGTTGGACCTGTTTGGCAATTTTCTCAAGGAATCTCCTAGCCTCATCCCCTCCAACCTTCCTCTTCAACGTTCTGATCTCCCAAACCTTGTGAAGATCGTTAATGTTCATCTTAAATCAAACACTAAATCTGAAATCTGAAAGTGTGCCTGATATTCAAATAATTTCGAATCCGATCGTGTGTAGAGAATTGAATCAAATAGGCTTCCAGAATGAGGAACCCAACAGGGTTCAAAATCAAAACACCTCCAGGTCCCAGTCCCTAGTCCCAAAACCCCTTTGTTATTCCCTCCTGGGGGTGAAACTGGAGTGGAAATAGCTACCCCAAACATTCATATGATAAAGATAAAATGTAATTAAACCCAAACTCAGTGGAATGTAATCGACAATCGAAAAAGGAAAAATGTAGTCTTAGTTACTCAGTTGTACCACAAAATCGATGAAGATTGAGATGATTGAAACTTAAGAGAGGGAAAATGGGGTTTTAATTAACCGGGAAAGCAAGTCGGCAGTCGGCAGAAGAAGACGAGGAAGATGACTAGAGACGGTGAAGATGACCAGATACGGTGATTCGATGAAGACGGACTAGGAAATCAAGTATCGACGGAAGACGAATGCCACGAAGTTGATGAGTGATATTTTGATGTCGAGAAATCGGGATTTTGATCTTGGCTCTTAGGAGAATTCAATTGGAAAATTGAAACCTAAAAATTAATATCAAATTACCATAATTATAGAATATTATTTGTGGAAACTAATTATCAAATTACCTATTTATCCTTATTTATTTATTTAATTATTTATTTTTATTTTAAATTTTGATTGGCCCACATTTATGCATACAATAACACAATAATTATTTTAAATACATGAACTTAGCTCTCTCTCTCTCTCTCTCTATATATATATATATATATATATATATATATATATGTATATATATATATATATATATATATACAAAATAATTGAAAAAAAACTCACTAACCAACACCACTCACCACTCAACCAACACCACCTACCACCCACCCACCACCAACCACCCATCAACACCACCTATAACCCACCACCCACTACCCACTAACCACCGCCACCTCCCCTACAACCCACCACACCCACAAACCAACACCAAACACCACCAACCACCACCTACCACCCAACATCCACTATTACAACCACCACACATTCCCACCCCCACCCACCAACCACCAACCACCATTGTCACTCACCACTACCACTGCCACCTACCATCCCAAACTGTAACATCCCGATGTTTAGGTACTTCTAAATTCATCCCTATAATCATATTTCATGTCATTTTGGTTCCTAAGTTCAAGAAGTTATGTTTTGAGCCCTACTGGCAATTTTGTGATTATGGCAGGAGGAGTACGTCATGCGTACATGTTTGTATGTTGGGCGTACACTTATGTACACGGGACGTACTAGCTTCAGGTGGAAACCCTAATTTTTAGGGTTTTGGTGGTATTTAAGCAACATTATGTCTCGTTTCTCCTCACCTTTTCAGCCTCCATATCTTTTGAGACGTTTTTGCAAACCCTAGCCCTCTTAGTGTGTATTTTGAGCTCAAGAGTGTGTTCTTGTTTTGTTGAAGGAGGAAGAAGTTGCATTAAGGAGCCTTAAAGTGGAAGCAAACTTATGGATCTAGGATCTTTGCCTTCCTGAGAAGCCCCAAAAGGTATAAAGTTTATACCTTGATGTCTTGGTTGTTAGATCCTATTTTTGGGTGTTTTATGTTGCTTTTCTTATCCTAAGGGTCCCATCTTGTGCATGGTTTGATCTTGTCATTTTGATTTGTCCTTTCAGACCCTAGGAAAGGTCCTTAGCCATGAAAATGAAGTCCTTTTGCTTAGATTTGCTCCATGCATCTTGTATGAAGTCTTAATGGATTAAGACCTTGTTTTAAGCTCTTATTAGGCGTGTAAAGTCATAAAGTTAGAAACTTTATGACTCTAGGGTGTGTTTTGGTCATGGATTTGAAATATGAGCTTAATTGCTTAAGCCATTAAGAACTAACATGGAGTTTGGAGGCTATGAGGGTATGCCCCACATACATGGGAGTACGCCCCACATACTCGGTTAACCACCCCAATAGTGGTCTTCTGTGAGGCTTCGCATACGCTAAGCGTACCTCCGAAGTATGCAACGCGTACTCGCATGGGTCAGCCTTGTTATGTTGACTCGGTTGTGTTGACTCGGTTGACTTAGTGGGTTGACCAGTTGATTTTGACTTTGCTTTGACCAAGTTTGACCTGGAGGGTGTTTTCAGTATTTTAGGATTTGAAGGAATTGGTCACTTGGTGGAAATAGGTATCGGTTAGAGAGCTGAGATTCGGAGTCAGGCCTCATCAGTTTTGTTCAGTTTTGCAAGGTGAGTCTTCCTCACTATACTATTGGGTCGAAGGCACTAAGGTCGGCCCTTTTGGATTATTATCCTGGTTTATCATTTGCTTATATGTTGTAGTTATCTGTTATATTTGTATCCTGGTATATAGGAGGATGTTATGCTTAGTGATTTGCTAGATTTGTATGATTGTCTGTATATGCTAGCTAGGGTTTGATATGGTACATGTTGATATGTGATGGTGATGCGACCTTGCTTCCACTCTAAGTAAACTTCGATAATAGTCCCTGAGTTGCTCCTACAAGATCACAGAGAAAAGAGGTCGTCAGCCGTTTCCCAGGAGGGGGATCCCGGAAAGACGCTTCGTTAGAGAGTGTGTATGTATATAGCTTGGAGAAGGCATCTTGCCTATCGGGATCATGATCTTTTCCTTTTATACTCAACGATCATGCTCGTCCGTACGAGACAGGATCTCCTAAGCTGACAGGAGCAGAGGCGCTGATTGGAGGATCGTGCTCCTCTACTTGTCAGAGCGCTACCATTTGTCCTGCCGGTAATGCTCTGATCCCTTGCTTTGTCCCCTGATCGTATCTTTTATCGTGGAGATCTGGGGCACCTTTGGCAGGCACAAGCCTCTTGCGAGGATGCCTTTCACGGGCGCGGGCCTCTTGTGAGGACGCATTTGACGGGGGCTTTTCCTTTTGCTAGAGTGCCCTAACCTTGGGGGCGCTAGCGGACGCTAAACCCACTGGGCCTGGTATGTCGGATACGCCAGCCTTCTGAGTTGGGTGCGACCCTTTCGTGCTAGCTAGGGCACGTTATCAAGTCCCCCAGTCCAGTACAGGTAGCGTTGTTGCGATAGCTACGATGTTCTGGACTTAATTGCTCTGTACGTGCCTGTTTTCTATTCGCCCGTCGTTCCGATTTTTAATGGCAACATGACCGCTCATCATGGTTGGCAGTTACATCATGTGTCAGGGATTTTGAATATCTTGCTTTTCCTCTTCTCATATTAGGGCACTTATCATCATTTTTCTTTTCCCTCACGTTTCCTCTTCTTCTATTCACTTTTCTTCTTCCATGCTTTCCTTCTCTTCTTCTATGGCCGATTCATCTATAAATCTTCCTTCTAATGTTGCGTATCAGTATTTGGAGGAAACATATGGTCTTGCTTCAGCGGATGGGATCGAGTTCCCACTACCTGGTTCATCTATCACGTCTCCCCCTCCTGGCAAAGGTGGGGTTTATTTGAAATCCCTTGATGTCGGGCTACGACTTCCTCTTATTGATTTCCAAGAAGAGGTCCTGCGAAAGGAAGTTTGTAGCATCCATATGTTGTCTCCCAATGTTGTGAACAAAGTAGTGGTGTTTGAGATGATCTGTCGTGCCAATGGCGTTCTCCCCGACTATTTTGTCTTTAAATACTTCTTTAGGTTCTGTTGCACTTGTGACAAGTGCACTTTCTCCATTCGGCAAGGGGGGCATACCCTGATTCCCGATGGAAAGACCCCCAAGAACTGGCAAGACAAGTGGTTATGGGTGAATCACGGTTTGGCAGGCAGTGGGAGATATCATGCTAACTCCTTCACTAATCTCACACCCAAACTATTTCCGCACAACCAAAGTGTTGCTGGTCTTTTGAAGAACATCCAGGTTACTCCTGAGGATTACTCTAAGGTGTTGTTGGCAGGTGTGGGAATGAGTCCTTCTTGGAGGCGTTAGGGGAAGATGGTGGTCTTCTTCTCTTTTGTCGATGGTAAGTGTTTTCCTTTACTCTTCCTTTTCTCCCCCCCTCCCTTTTCTTTCTTTTCTTGATAGCAGTTAGGGTTTTTGTTTTGGTTGATCCATACACCCTGTCTACATGTTTTCCGCATGTCACATAGTTTTTCAAGTGTTGAGTCCTCCCTATCCATGGTTGAGGTGTTGCGAAAGCGTTATCGGGGGAAACTGGAACACCGAGAGGTAGATCTGATTGATTTCCTTCCTCCCCCTCGATGAGTTAACCATATTGTCATGGCTATTGCCGCCTCAACCCCCCTGTGGTTAGTGGGATACCGACACCAATGTTGTAGTTGCTTGTCCTATTACCACTGTTGCACCTTTAAGTGGCACTTGTTCTAGTTCGGTTGGGGTGAGTAAGGACAACAAAGATGGGATTATTTCTGATGTCATGTGCAAGCCAAGTGAAAAGTCATCCTAGCCATGGGTGAGATGGTTATTGGAGCTCCTAATGTTCCCAAACGGTTTCAGACGAGGCGTGGATTTGCCCGCCTTCTAAATTCATTATCTTCAACACCGTCGGCACTTGTTGTGATCCCCGATGACGACGTTCAATAGTCCGAGGGGGCCCAAGGGTTGTCTGAGCAGCCTAGTGTTTATGTTCTGGTTGTGTTTGAAGTTCTTCTAAACTCTTCTCCGGTCAAAGGTTCTAGTAGTGTGGAGCAGGGCTCAACTCCTCCTAGTGGGGGTATTGGTTAGGTTCCCTCTGGTCCTCCCACTTTTGTTCCTGCTTGGAATCTCAACAATGAGTCTTGCCTCTCTTTGCTCGGTAACGTAATAGAATTTTCCCGGCATACATTCCATCCTGCTGCAGTTACTGACATGGAGGCCATGGGCAGTCCCATTCTTTCTCATAATATGTCTTATGTCAATGCACAGGCTATGTTCTACCTTGTTGCAGGTGCTCGGCGTGTCTAGCTGCTCAGCGAGATGGAGGCAGTTCATGCGGGGTGTAGTTCACGTGAGGTTGGGTTGAAGCGTCAAGTGTCTGAGTTGGGAAGTGGTGAGGTTGGGTTGAAGCGTCAAGTGTCTGAGTTGGGAAGTGGTGTGCAGGGTTTGGAGTAGAAGTTTCAGTTGCTTGCGGCTGAGAAGGCTGATGTGGATAAAATTAGGGCTACTCTGGAGGCCAAGTTGGATTCCTTCACTCAGGTGAACGAAGGTTTGATGATTCAAGTTGAAAGTTTGGAACGCGACGTTGCTGATTGAGATAGATTGATTGTCGTCGTTTAAGCAGGTGTTGAAGCTACCCAACATGATTTGGACTGGCTGTTGCGTGTGGGCCTTGTACGGGTTGTAGATAAGTTGATTGAGCATCCATATTTTATAAATGCTATAAGTCTCATCCTCCATGCTTCTTTTATTGTTGGGGTGGAGTCCAGTCGCAATGTTTATGTTCCTGCAGTGGGTTCTGATTATGTTGATCCTGGTGACGGCGTCCCTCCTGTGAGTGTAAATGAGGCATTGCTATCGTTTTCTAGCATGGACCATGCATCGTTGTTGGGGTTAGGGGATTTGGATATCTAGGGGGTCTGTGAGCTTTGTGATTTTGCAGGCTCTGAGGGGACTCCTGATGGTGTGTCGGCTGGTGCTGTGGATAATGAATATGGGACTGAGAGTGGTGGAGGGGGAGCTGGTAATGTTCACGAGGGGATTGGTGGTGATAGCAAGGTTGTTGGTGCTGTTGGTGGGAGCGTGGTTGAGCCTGTTAGTGAGTTTGTTGTTGGTGATGCTGAAAAAGGGTGCTCATGCACCATGTGCTACCCCATCTGGGGTGTGAAAATCTTTTCTTTACATGTTTGTTGTCTTTTGAACCAATACTATTGAACTCTTATTTTGCTTGGTGTTGCGATCCTTAGGCCCTATTGTACTGGATGTGTTTGTTTAATATATGTTGGGTTTCTTTCGTTATTGCTCTGTGCATTTTCAGTTTGGTCTGCTAATTTGGTGGATGGGGCCATTCCTTTGGCAGTTTTTGTGTTGATCCGTGGTTGATACGCCAAATTTTTTGCTTGATATACTATAAATCAATACTGAGTATGCGCTTGATACATTGGGCGTTTTATGCAAAGCGTGTTCTTAATACACTGAGCATTTAATCATCAATGCACTGAGCATGAGAATATTCATGCTTTAATATACTATGTGTTAATATTAATATGTTAGGCATGTTCTTAATGCACTAAGCATTTGGTCATCACCACACAAGGTATAAGGATTTTGCGTTTAACACACTAGGTATTTAATGATAATGTGCGCTTAATACACTAAGTATTCAATCATCAATACACTAAATATGAGAGTTTTGCTCTTAATACACTAAGTATTTGATAATAATGTGTGCTTAATACACTAAGTATTCAATCATCAATACACTAAGTATGAGAATTTTGCACTTAATACACTAAGTATTTAATAATAATGTGTCAAGCATGCGCTTAATACACTAAGTATTTGAGTGTGGGAAGTTTGCTCTTTCATGCACTAAGTACTTTTCTTAGCACTATGGTTGCATAATCTGCCCTAAATGTGTTAGGTGAAGGGTCTGGGCTTGCCGATTTAGGCGCTAACCGTTCATGTTAATCAAAAGTAGAATTTCCTTAGGTTCCTTGCGTTCCAAGTTCTTGGAATTTCCCTTCCCTCCATTGTTTCTAGTGCGTATGCTCCATTGCGGTTTGCCTCAATAACTTTATATGGTCCCTCCCACACGGGGCCCAATTTTCCATGTGGTTGGGCTCGGCTTGCTTTATTCCGCCTCAACACATAATCTCCCACTTTGAATACCTTTTTGTTGACCCTCTGGTTGTAATATTTCTCTACGGCCTGCTTGTATGCGGCTTGCTGCACCCCTGACCGTTCTCTTTGATTTTCGAGGAGATCTAGGTTCAGTCTTAGATCTTGGGAATTAGTTTCTTCCTCAGCATGAATCGTCCTCAAGGTGCCTATCGTTACTTCTACTGGGAGCATCGCCTCTATTCCATACACTAAGCTGAACGGCGTTTCCTGCGTTCCTGTTCTCGGCATTGTCCTATATGACCATAGCACTGCGGGCAGTTCTTCGGCCCAGTTCCTTATAGCTTTCCCCAATCTTTTCTTGATTCCACTTACGATTATCTGATTGGACACTTTTGTTTGCCCGTGTGACTGGGGATGTGCTACTGACGTAAATTACTGAGTGATCCCTTTGCTAATGCACCAGTCTCTGAAAGGGTTTTCCGCGAACTGTTGCTTGTTATCGCTGATGAGTGTCTTGGGTGTTCTGAATCTAGTCAGTATGTTCTTCCATACGAATTTGATCATGTGCCTTCCCGATATGCATGAGATTGGCTCGGCCTCGATCCATTTTGTAAAGTAGTCGATCATCACCACCATGTATTTTAGTTTCCCCGGGGCTTCTGGGGACGGCCCCATAATATCTATCCCCCATTGATAGAACGGCCATGGGCTGGAGATGTTAGTCAGAGGGGTCGGGGATTTCCTTGGATTGGTGAGTATGTTTGGCATTCTGCACATTTCCTTGTCAGTTACATCGCGTCTTTGTACATAATAGGCCAATAAATTCCCATGCGGAGCACCTTTCCTGTTAGGGTGTGTGCCCCTTCATGCACGCCCGCCTGACCGACATGTACCACTTGGAGTGCTTCTTTTCCCCTGGCTTCATCCACACACTTCAACCAAGGCATTGTGAACCCTTTCCTATACAACTCCCCTTCACAAGTTCATATGATGGCGCTTTTATGCGTATCTTCCTTTCCTCTCGGTAGTTATTTGGAGAAATATTGTGTTGTAGGTATTTTGTTAATGGGGTCATCCATGTGTATCTAGCTGCTGCCAAGGTGTTTACTCGTTGTTCATCTATGATTCTTTCCTTGAGTACTTCGACTAGGACCTTCTTGGACAAGTGGTTGAAACATGTTGATGTCAGTGTTGTTACTGCTTCTGCTCCCATCCGCTTGGCCATTCGTAGACCGGCGAGTAAAGCTTTGTACTTCGCCTCATTATTCGAGGTGTAAAAATTGAAACAAAGTGTGTATGTCACCTCTTCTACTTTCGAACTGGTTAGGATCAAGACTGCCCCCGAACCCTTTCTGTTGGACGCCCTATCTGTATATAATGTCCATTTCCATCTGTCCTTTGGGATTTTTCCTGCCTCAAATATCTCTCCTTGGGTCGTGCTTTTTCCTTCCCCTAGAATTTCGAGTAAAAAAATCTTCAAGTTCCTGGCTTTTGATGCTTCTTCGCGGATGGTAACTGATGTCGTGTTCACCCAGTTCTATCGCCCATTTTGCTAGACGACCCGAAGTTTCTTGTTTGAGAAATATCTGCTTGATTGGGAAATTTGTCAAGACTTCGATCTGGTGTGCCTGGAAATATCGCCTTAGTCTTCTGGCGACGTAGATAAGTGTGAGGACCACCCTTTCGAGAGCGGGGTAATTGAGTTCAGGGCCCTGTAATGCCCGACTGACGAAGTAGACTGGTTTCTGTTCTCTCTCTCTTTCAACAACCAGTACATATGAAATGGATTTGGCTAAAGTCGATAAGTATATCTATAACGTTACTCCCGGGATAGGGTTGGCCAATGTGGGCAGTTTATGCAAGGCTTCTTTGATTTATTGGAGGGCCGCCTCCGTTGCTACTGTCCACTGAAAGTTGCTTTTCTCAATGCATCCTTTAAGTGTGCAAAAAATTGGCATGGCTTTGTCAGCTGATTTTGAGATGAAACGGCTAAGCACTGCAAGCTTTCCATTTAAGCCATGTGCATCCCTTAGGGTACTTGGTGGCGGTGTTTCCATGAATTCTTCTATCTTGACCGGGTTGGGTTGTATTCCCATCCTGGTTACGTAGTACCCTAGAAATTGCCCTTCTTCTACCCCAAAGGTGCACTTCCCTGGGTTCAGCTTCATCCTGTCTTTCTCCAGCGTCTTGAAAGTTTCTTCAACATCTTC